TATCTGCATCACGGCGGCAACTATTTCACTTTATTTATGCTGCTGCTGATCTCTGTCATCAGTCAGGTCGCCATCACCGGAAATGATTACTGGACCTCATATTGGACTACTTTGGAAGAAATCAGGCGTACCGGAAATATTAATGGCACCAAACAGTTCGAGAACATGTACAATAATAGCTTTCTTGGGTCGATATTCACACTAAGTCCAGACGGCCTGCTCAGCACTATGGATGCCATATACGTATACACATTCTGCATCATTGTCTGCACGATTATCACACTGTTTCGCAATTTTTTCTTCATGAAGGTCTGCATGAACTCGAACTGCAATCTTCATAATACCATGTTCTCCAATCTGCTGCAGGCGCCCATGTCTTTTTTCTACACCAATCCTTCCGGTGAGCAACACTCGCGAGATACCGAAGGGCAAAAGAAATTGTTGGCCTAAGAGAGATTTGGAAAAGTACATTAGTGATAATTTATTTTATTGTTAAAATTTTATATATTATGTTTTGGAATTTTTCAAAATTTTTGTACTTTAGAACTTTTTGGAAAATTTCTTAGATTTTATACAAATTTGAACTTTTTATTTTGACTATTCAAAAGTGCTTAGAATATATACAGAGTGTTATTTATATATATAATATTATTCTTTGTAACAAACTGACAATGAGTCGCAAAGTCTTGTATCATTTTTTTTTCTAGAATGCTTGATGAAGTGTGATTACTAATATAATAATTATGAATACGCGGAGATAAATTTATATCAATTGTCAAGTATTTGAATAGTGTGTGCGCAGTAAGTAAGGATTATTATATACCACTCTTGCTTAGATTTGCGATTTTCATGTTTTTTAGGAAGAATTTTAAATAGATTTTCAAAGGACGTGAATGCCATGGACGAGTTGTTGCCCAAAAAGGCGTTAGAAATTATTCAGATATTTTTCGCTGTTTGCGGTATAATTGTAATGGAGATTATAATTAATCGATGGATGCTGATACCGACAGTGTTTCTGATCGTTCTATTTTTCATTGTGACAAAGTTCTATTTAAAAATTGTTCAAAGTATTAAACGTCTCAATGACGTAAGTAAGTATTGAAACAAGTAATCGTTTTTATCGAAAAAAAATCTTTTTATTTTAAATTGCCTTTGATTTATAGATTTCTAAATCGTTTAACTATCGTCATTAAATTCAGACTGTTATTTCTTACTTCTCTTAGTCAGATTGTAATTCTCAGGATCTGTAAATCCCAGTTGTCAGAATTTGCGTTTGTCTTTTCAGCGAAGAGTCCATTGTTTTCGCACGTGAATGCCACCCTGAACGGTCTACCGACAATCAGAAGCAGTGGCGTCGAAACTGAAAAGATGATCCGAAAGCAATTCGACTTGTTGCAAGACCGTCACAGCGGCACATGGTACCTCTTCTTATCGTGCTCGTCGTCCTTCGGTATCTTTACAAATCTAATCATGTGTCTATTCCTCGCTTGCATTTGCTTCTCCCTAATACTGGTGAATGAGAATGGTAAATTATAATTAATTAAAAGATTATTAAAAATTATTATCAATTAAAGATTAAATATTCGTCATGTCTTTCTAAGAAATTGGTGAAAATACAGGAATACGTAGTACAACAAAAAAAATTCTGAGCAAATTAATAGAATCAAATAATCTTTTAATGTGTAAGCTTTGGTATGTTTGTTCTTTTAATTTTACGTGTGATTAGTATTTTGGAGAACATTGGTTAAATTGAAAAAAATATGTACTAGCTACTCCAAATCCCTTTCTTGATATTCATGTTGCAGACAGCGTAGACAACAGCAAAGCAGGTCTCGCCATATGGCAATCGTATCTGATTAGTATCTTAGCATACGGCATAAAAGAGTCTAT